CTGATCTCCCTTGGCCTTTTCGTGAGGAAACCTGTACAGCTTGGGCTAAGGATGTGTTTCTACTCTGAGCTTTCCCATTGGCTCCTGGCAGAGCGCACAGGGCTAGGACCAGCCTGAAACTTTTAAAAACATTAACTTTTCAGATTAGTATAAACTTTAACTCAAAACCTACTTACATATACAATACTAGGGGAGACACTTTCTTCCCACTCACTGCCTAAGCCAAAACAGATAAGATTTCATGCCCTCTTCCAGAAATAGTGGACAGATTTATTTTTCCTAGTCTATCTTTTCATTAGACAAATAGCATTTTAAGTCCCCGAGGGGACTCAGTTTCAATTTTCTGCCTATTTTGAGACCAAGGCCTTTTCTCTGACCCCATAGTGGCTTCTGGTTCTTATGGAACCCCTCTCCCTTCCTCAGGGAAGCTTTAACTACAGTTCATGTTTGAAGCTGCTGATTTCCTAGGCTTAGCCTCTAGGACTATCCCCCCCTTTTTTTTTTTTTTAGCTCAGATACCTAGTTAAAAATATTTGCATGGCATGTGCAATCTCCTGCACACCAGCCTACCAAACACCTACATCCAGGAGTAGACTTCTGGCTACCCTGAGTAGCTTGCCTCCAAGGCAGTGATCTCCAAAAGGGGCTCAAATTCTTACCCAGAGGCACAGGAGTAAAGCTAAACCCTGAGTGGCTATCACACAAACAAAGACAGAACCAAGAGCATTTGTAGGCAGGCATATCTCTTCCAGAGACTGCCAGTGGTTGAGTCAAAGGTGCAGTGCTTAACTTTCCCTGTGGTTGAAGGACATTTTTAACAATTCATCCTTTCCAGGGAAGCTGTAGTTTGGAGAGTTTTGAAACTTTTAATTCTTGACTCAAGCCAGGAATCAAAGACTAAATCTCTTTCTTGGTGATCTTACATTGGAGGTGCCAATTTTCTCTAGGAGTTACCTTAGCATGTTTGAACCTTGATATTGTGTACATGTTTTTAAGGTGAACTTGATGTTTTTTTGGTGAGAATATCAGGTTAACTTTAGGGCCAGAAAAAAATATTATGTATAAACCATTATAGATGAAAATGGGTCCATGTTCTTAAAGCTATGTATATCCTCTTAAAGTGAAAAAAAATACATAAATTGGATGTCTGATACATTTTGTCCAGCATTACAATGTATTTTATAGAGGGAGAATTTCCTTCATGGCATATATTGCAAGATATTTTCTTCCCTGCCTCACCCCAACCAGAATTTAAGCTGCTTGAGGACAGAGACCTCTGTTTAATCCACCGTTTTATCCCAGCAGCATGGTCAGTTTTGTAATCATAGTCACATTGAATGAATGGATAAATAAATTAGAAGTATGAGGAGGACTTGACTCTGCTCTAAAGAGTTAAGTCCTCTTTGGTCTCTTTGGTGTTACAGAGATGCAAGGCTCATACACCTACTATACATCCTTTAAATCCATCCATACAACCCCCAACATCACTTGAAGATGTTTCTGGCCTTTATTTCCGCATTGAAGATACTTCCCTTCAGCCTTCATAGATGAGGACAATTGAAATGTCTCTCATGTAGACATCCTTCCTCCATCCTCCTCTAACAATGTGTCAGCATTGCTATTGTTGGGGTTATTAAGGACTGTGCAGGGAATAGTCACGGAACACTGTACACACACATATGCATGCACACACACGCGCGCATTGAACCCTTCCGATTTTCCAGGAGGTGATTTGGACGGCTCTTCCCCACGTGATGACTGGGACTCAGCGATGCCCAGTGCAAAAGATACGGTAACCTTCACTTCTGGTCACGTCACATCTCAGCTTACCAGGGAAGAGTCCCAAGATTCCTCTCTTCAGTCCCAGCCGATGACATCTGAACATTTCCAAGAGAACATTTGGTATTACTCAAGTGAGTTCAGGTTTTTGTTTCTTTTTTAAATCTTTGCCACTCCCAAAGAATTCTTCCTTTCAGAGCCTGAGAATGACTTAGGGATGACTCACGTGCTCTCAGGAACTGGCATCAACCTGTGTGAGGAGGGAGGACGAGGGGCCAAAGCCCCTCCACAGAGATGACTGCCTTAGGGTGTCATCTTAGAGGCCTCAGAAGCACTGTGTTTGAGAGCTTATTTTTTTTTAAACCCTAAAAACATATGGTAAAATGTCAACCTTTAATAAATCAGAGCAGAGAGTACATAGGTGCCTACCATGTTGCTCTTTATATTTACCTGCGCATTTGACACAAACATAAGGAAAAGGGAGGAGGAGAAGGAGGACATCTTTTAATGCTATCCTCCTGGCAAGTAAAAGCCAAAGATAGAAAGATATTGGTATTTCCTGTGAGGAGTAAATCTGGAATGAGTCCAACGAGCCTGGCCTGCACTCTGACTTGCTAACATGAGGTTAATCATGTTTGGACGCGACGTTGCATCAGGTTGCTGCTGTGTCATCAGCTTGTCATCCACCGAGATTCAGAGCCCAGCTCCCTACGTGTTAGCGGTAACTCAGAAGCAGTTGACCAAAGTCTCTCAAACTTCACATTTTCATCTCTTCCTGGAGATCTTCACAATTCCTACCCTGTAATGACTAAAACCACCCACATAAAGCACTTAGCAAACTGTGTCACATCCACCGAATAATCAATGCGGAGTTATTAATGCACAAGGTTGAGGCTAAATGAAAAAACAAACTGCTCTATTTGCCTCCACAAAGTCATGACTATTCACTTCACTGGACACTACTCTTCCACCTCCCGAGACCCATATGCTCTGGGTCTTTTTGCTCCAGCACAGCTACTAGATAAAGCCCAACAAACCATAGCAGCCTTTAACATTTTAAGTTTCATTTTGAGGTGACACAGCACTTTCCTTCCACGTCACCCCCAGAGCTCTGCATCTGTCTCTATTGGAGACATTTGACTTCACTAGGTTTTGAAGCCCTGGGTGGACAGGGTCTGCCTCTTTGGTTAAAGTCCTTCTCATGCAGGTTTCGTGTGTGCATTCTGTCCCAGGAGATGCTTCAGCGCTAAGCATATAGACACGGACAACATCATTTATGTCTCTTGGGGCTTTTTGAGTTCCAATGAGCGGAAACCCACTTCACACTGGATTAATCAATAGCCAAATGTATTGACTCCTGTTGGTGAAAATTCCAGGCGTAGAGTTCAGGACAGTGTCAGTCTCTATCCTTTGTCACCTCTTCTCTTCCATGTCTGTGTTATTTTTTAAAAGGATCTCTCTCTGTGATGGTTCTGCTGCCTCTGTGCTTACACCTTTCACCCTTCTAAGTTTCTCTTTTGGGAAAAGAGATCATAAGACTACACAGATATGACAAGAGCCCCAGAAATGAGATTCACTGATTCTGGAAGTTCCCCATTTCCATTGAAAAAACTTTGCCAGTAAGGATTCCAAACTCCAAAAAGCTTGGAAGGAATCAGGAGGAATATCAGAGAAATCAGTAACTCCACCTAAACTGTGAGCTAAGAGAAGGAGAGAGGTGATTCCCCAAGAAATAGATGGCTGAGTCCAACAAGCTTGCAGTCTAGCAGGGAAATGAGGGCAATAACACCAATTTCAGTAGTGTGAAAAGAGAGCTGATGGAGACAGGAGCAAGGTATAGGGAAAGGGCAGGGGAGGAGCCCGAGAAATCATGGTAGGCTTCCTGAAGGAGGTTGAGCCCAAATAGGGAATAAATAAATGGCTACTGAAGGAAGAAATCAGGAAATAACTCTTCCAAAGTCACACAACTCATATGTTGGTAGAACTCAAATTTGAACCCATTCATCCTTCAGTACCCACGACTAGTGCTCTTGTCAAATTTTTCAAGCTGCATTTGTTTCTATGAGGAAATGTTTTTCCAATTCTGCATGAAATCAGGAGTGGCTAAGAATAGAAGCACACTTTAGAAGGATGGCTGAGTGCTCAATTGAACTCACAATAACATACTTAATCCGCAGTGTACATGAAATACTGTGCATTGGCAGTCACGTAATTTACTACTGCAATGTTTTGAATTGCCAATCTTCAGTATTCCACCCCCATTGTGGGCTAACTAGGTTTTGTTAGCTAACTCAATCCTCATTCATAGCATAAATAGCAAAAATAAATGCATTCTTAGCACAAAGTCATTCCAAGTTTTAAACAACGCTTGCAGAATTGAGCTTTTGGAGCATTCGGTGACAATTAAGTTGTGGCCCCTCCTTTAGATCTTTATGTGGTCATTCTTAAGCCAGCCCTGATTTCTTGGAGGGGATCAGAGTAATACTCAGGTTCATCATTGGTTTAACTCTTATGTTAAGAATTGCTGGAGGATTTGTAGTTTCCACAGGGGCTTGAAAGCCCTGAAATATTTTACTGATGCAAAGAGTTTTGCAAAGACAAATATTGCATAATATATGTTCTCTTTTTGGTCCTTTGAGACTTCCAGTATGCAAAGTTGCAATTGTCTGTCCTTTCCCCACTTCAGACAAAACATTATGTTCTGTCTAGATGTAGTTTTAAAATCTTGGCTCTGACAACTCATAGTGGTGTGACCTTGGGCAATTTCATCATTTCTCTCAGTCTTGGTCTTCTCAATTGCAAAACTAAGAAAATGGTACCTGCCTAAAATCGTTGCTGTGCTGATTAAATGAAGTGATGTATAAAAGCTCTTTGTGAATTATAAGGCACTCTACAGATTTTAGGCATTCCTATCATTACTGTCATCTTCATCAGTGTCAAATCTCTGACATTAGCATAAACTCTACAAAGCCTTTTCCTAACAGTAAAGGAAAAGGCAAGCCCAAGACTGTATAAATTGTATATTCTTTTATAAGAATTTATAGACATTTTCTAATGAATAACCCTGTATATTATTTTGTTATTTATGACAAATTGCTTGTACTGAAATACCCTTCAAAAATATCTTTTTTTGTGGGTAGAAAAGAAGTTTGAGTATGCTTTTCTTGTTCTATTTAATCAGTGATGATTTCTAATTCATTTATTTTTATTCTTTCTATTAGAAACCAGTTTGTCACAAGAGGTCTCCTTTCGGGCAATCCTGCTTGCTGTGTGCTTAGTCAGTTTTGCGTGTGCAAGGTAATTCCGATTTTCATGCAGCGGTTATTTCCTATTTACTGAAGTGTAATTGATTGATGACTCCCTTGCATTTTTCCCCAAAACATTTTAGATAGCTCTATGGTTAAGATAGGCTCACTTGTCTGTCCATTTTAAGTGCCTGTTTCTCTCTCACCACCCCTCCCATCTTCTTACAAAGCATACAAAAACCAGTGCAACTTGCTTAAAATTGGATTTTACCCCATATCATCCTTTGTGTAGAGTTTCATCGACTCCTGCCACAGGTGCGGTCTAAGTGCCTGGTCTGGAGTTCAAGGGCCCTTGCAGTCCCTCCTGAAAATCCACCTTTCCCATATATGTGAATATCCAAACGTAAAATGTCTTTTTGCCTACTATGGGCATATTCCCGCTCTCCCCTCTGTTCTGCATGTTCTTCTCCCTTCTGGTCCTTCCCTAGTCCCCAGGGCAGTGATCAAGCTCCTTGGTGCTGAGCCCACTCGTGCCCCAGGGCCTTTGTACCTGCTGTGGACTCTGCCTCATTCAAGCCTTCTCCAGCCAGTGATTTGACTTTCTTTGAGAATCTGTTCAAATGTCACATTATCAGAGAGACTTTCTGCGACAACCCTGTATAAATAGCACACCTCTCTGTCACACACACCTTGTTTTTCCTTTTGTCAGAGCCCCTGTCTCCCCAAACCTACTAAATGTTCACTTGTCTAAATGTCATCTTGCTCACCTTCAAGACTGAGCTGCCTGAGAGCAGAGACACTCTGACTCCCTCCCTGCTCTATTCTCAGTGCCAGGGCTTATCAATATTTGCTGAGTCAATAAAACAAGGGTGAATAGTCAAATCCGGAGCTCCTTATGGTCCTTGAACTCTGCCCAGCAACTGCTACCTGCTCTTGAGTCCCACATCTTGGGGGCCCAATCTTAGCCCCACTTGGGGAGCTGCTTTTTTTTAAAGATACAAAGTCCTAGATCCCATCTCTTGAGATACTAATTTAGATCTACTAAGAACTGATGTTAAAAAATAGCTTCCCAGATAATTGTGGGGTTTGAAAAGCATTTTTAGATCACAATGGGACCAAAAGAACAAAAGGGGGGAAGGAGGTCCTATGGTTAAAAATAAATTTGCAAAATTATGCATTCTATATTCCAAGCTGGAGGATCATGATGTGTACCAGTATAATAGAGGTTCAGTGAAATCGTGATGAAGACACATGTGTAGCTTGGTTTCACTTGGTGTTTTCCAAACCTCCAAGTTGAGTAAGGAAGACTTTCTTTTATTTCACAGAACCATTAATGAACTATTCCTTGGGTTAGTTTTTGTTTAAACTCCCCCCCACACCCTTCATCAATGGCACCTAACTCTCAGTCCTTTGAGAGTGAGCGGATTTAGAAACTTGCTTCCAAAAAGTATGGAAATGGGCTTAGCGCCTGTAGGTCAGTAGGTAGAATGCTGGTCACATGCACCGAGGCTGACAGGTTCAAACCCAGTCCGGGCCAGCTAAACAATGACAACTGCAACAACAACAACAACAACAACAAATAGCTGGGTGTTATGGCGGGCACCTGTAGTCCCAACTACTTGGGAAGCTGAGGCAAGAGAATCACATAATCCCTGAGGTTGCTATGAGCTGTGACGCTCTGGCACTCCACCAAGGGTGACATAGTGAGACTGTCTCAGAAATTTAAAAAAGTATGGAAATGAAGGGGGAAAAGGCAAATTTACAGGGAAGAAACTGAAAAAACACTATCTCAGTGAACAAGTCAGAATCAGCAGCGATGAGTTATGCCTGGTGTCCTTTACCATGTGAGAGGATTAATAAATTGTAGTTATGTGTATATCACGTGGAATATTATTTAGCTACAAAAAATAAGAGATTCTCTTTTGTAACAACCTGGACAGATTGAGATTATCCTAGGCAATGTATCACAAGAATGGAAAAATAAGTATCATATGTACTTAGTACCAATTTGAAAGTAGATAATAACTGCAGGCTCACATGGGAGAGAAACAAACTTAAATTCAAATAGAGGGAAATAGAAGAGGACTTGGTAAGTTCCCACCCACTGGGTACATTGCACAGGTAAGTGGCAGACTTCCTGGGTGAAGAACACAACTACAACCAGACCTTAACTGTGCAAAAGCAATTTATGTAACCTTAATAGTAAGCTGAAATTAAGAATAAGAAGTTACATTGATTACATTACCCTGGACACAAGGGAGAGAATTTCACTTCACTTGTGTGGTCTTGAAAACCTCAGTTTAATCATAAGAAAACAGAAAAATCCCAAATTGAGGGGCATTCGTCACATTTTCTAATTAGAATTCCTTAAAACTGTCAAGGTCATCAAAACTAAGAGGAGTCTGGCTACATGTAACATGGTAACCTAGATGGGTTCCTGATGAGAAAAGGGAAGAGACTGAACCCCAAGGAAGCACGGAGTTGGGATAATAGCAGGGCACCAAGGTTGTTTCCTCAGTTGTGCCAAAGCCACCATAGTAATAGAAGACACTAGTAATAGAGGACATTGGCTGAGGGCCGTGGGAACCTTCTGTCCTGTATTTTGCGATTTCTCTGTGTATCTAAATTATTCTATATAAAAAGGTTAAGTAAAAGGGATTCTTATAAAAGAAGTACAGACACGGGCAAGTGTGTGGAATTTTCTTACAGATAGGTCCGTGACCGCAGACAGACTGGAATCCATGTGATTACACACAGGTTCAGAAGTGTTTGATTTTAGAAATTTTTTTTAGAGATTGGAATATTTAAATATACCAAAAGGAGCTATCTTGGGGATGGGACCCATGTCTAAACACAAAATTCATTTATGTTTCACATGCACCTTATACACATAGCCCGAAGGGAATTTTATACGATATTTTTCATAATTTTGTGCACCCATCACATGAAGTGTGGAATTTTCCACTTGTGTCGTGTCGGCGCTCAGGGAGTTGTAAATTTTGGAGCATTTCAGAATTTAGATTTTTAGATTAGTTTTGCTTTGCTTGAAGCATCCCTAGTCAATTATCACAGGGGCAAGAATAGTGGTCAATAGTGGGTGACAAGGGACAGCAAAGGGACCCTAGAGGGTCCTGGCAATATTCTTCTCTTCATCTGGGTAGCAACTACAGAGGTTGATGTAAAAAATAAAAATCAAGATATGCACTTTATATACTTACTGTACATATGTTAGAGCTCAATTTAGAAAAAGTTTTAAAGATGTGAAGAGCTGCCTAGAAGGATACCATCAGATTTTAGCGATGACTGCTTATGGATGGTGAGATTTTTTTTTTTTGATATTTTCCTTTCTCTTTGGTATTTATTTTTCGTCTCTCTCAAATGATTCATATTTTGAAAATAAAGACAGTAAAGACATTATTCTTTTTTAAAACAATCTATCCCCTCCTGGGGAAAAAACACCCTTCAGATTGGCAAAAGTCCAACTGTTTAGTAACACACTTTTTTGGCAAGGTTGGGGAGTAGCAGACATGTTGCTTCGTTGCTGGTGAAATTTTAACAAATTTATACTTAAAACCCCTAGGTAGGGAGGTTTGACAATTTTTACCAAATTTATAAATGCATATCTGCTTTGGACAAGCCATATTCTTTTAAGGAATTCTCTGCACATACGCTGACAATGTATAAAATGACATACAGAGAACGCTGTTTACTGTGTTTTTAAATAGTTTTGAAAGTCATTTTTTTAAGAGGTCATTTTTAGATGCTTACTATATTCACAAACTATCAGTTAGCATAATGTTTTCAAGGTTCCTTACATTGTAACATTCTTTTTATTAAATCGTGGCTGTGTACATTAATGCAATCATGGGGTACAATGTGCTAGTTTTACACACAATCTGAAATGCTTTTGTCAAACTGGTCAACATAGCCTTTACAGCATTTTCTCACACGTACCCTTGTAAGATGCACTGTAGGTGTGGTCACACCAACTACTCTCCCTCCACCCATCCTTCCCCCTAGATATTTGGGGAACACTTAGAGAACTAAAAATAGACCTGCCATGTGATCCTACAATTCCTCTACTAGGTATATATCTGGAAGACCAAAATCACATTATAACAAAGATATTTGTACCAGAATGTTTATTGCAGCCCAATTCATAATTGCTAAGTCATAGAAGAAGTCCAAGTGCCCACTGACCCATGAATGGATCAATAAATTGTGGTATATGTACACCATGGAATATTATGCAGCCTTAAAGATGGAGACTTTACCTCTTACATGTTTACATGGATGGAGCTGGAACATGTTCTTCTTTGCAAAGTATCTCAAGAATGGAAGAAAAAGTATCCAATGTACTCAGTCTTACTATGAAACCAATTTATAGTTTTATGAGAGCTATAACCCAATTGTAACATTCATTTTTATGGCTCAATAATATTCCCATGTAGGGCTACCTGTGGCTCAAAGAATAGGGCACTGGCCCCATATACCAGGGGTGGTGGGTTCGAGCCCAGCCCTGGCCAAAAACTGCAAAAAATAATATTCCCATGTAGATGTGATTTTTACTGTTTTATTCAATCACTTAATGAATCGTGCCTACCAGTAGATCATTATGACCAGTGCTGCTAGGAACATGGGTGTACCAGTTTTTGTGTGAACATATGCTTTCCTTTTCCTTGGGTAAATACCTAGGAATGGAATTTCGGGGCATATGGTAACACTATGTTTAACATTTTTAGGGACTGCTGAAACACTTTCCAAATGGACTGCATTATTTTACATCCCACCCACAATGTATGAGGGATCCAAATTTTCCTCATCCTTGACGTCACTTGTTATTGTCTCTTTTGGGTTAGAACCGTCCTAGTGGGTGTGGTATGATATTTCACTGTGATTTTGATTTGCATTTGCTTGACGGCTAATGATGTTGACCGTGTTTTCATATGTTTTAGACATCTGTGCATCTTCTTTGCAAATTATCTATTCAAGTACTTTGCCCAATTTTTAATCTGGTTGTGTTTTTATTGCTGAATTATGAGTCCTTTGTACATTTTGGTTGTTAACCTCTTACCAGATACATGATTTGCAAATAGTTTCTCCTGTGGGTTACGTTTTCACTCTGTTGATTGCATCCTTTGAGGCACAGAGGTGTTAAGTTTTTTATATAGTCTATTTTATCTATTTTTGTTGTTGTTGCCTGTGCTTTCTGTGTCAAACTGAGTAAGTCGTTGCCAAATCTAGTGTCATGAAGTCTTCCCCTAATGTTCTGTTGTAAGTGCTTTTATAGTCTTAGCTCTTATTCAGGTTTTTAATTCACCTCCTGTTTTTGTTTGTGGTCTAAATTAAGGGTTGAACTTCATTCTTTTGCATTCAGTGTAGTAAGTTTTGAAATTGGAAAAGTGTGAGTCCTCTAGGTTTCTTTCTCAAGATCATTTTAGCTTTTTGGGGTCCCTTGAACCTCATTTTTGCAATAGCAAAAAATAGAAATAATCCATATATTCATACATAGATTGGACAAATAAATTAGTTTTCTCTAAACAGAATGCTATGTGGTTGTGAAGTGCCATAGAAATAGATTAAGTGATAAAGTTAGAGAGATGGGGACAGAGGAAGGGAGATCTGCACCAATAAGGACTTCCAAGATATACATTATTCACAATTAGGAAGCACAGCATTGGATATAGCTGTTCCTAAGGACACTCAGGATTGATTCCAGGACTTCCCTTGGGTACCAAAATCTTCTTATATAAAATGGCACAGTTAGTAGTTGCCTATAACCTACATATATCCTCTTATATACTTTAAATCATCTCTAGATTTACAATGCAAGGTAAATGCTGTGTAAATAATTGTCATACTCTATTACTTTAAAATTCATATTTTGTATTAGTGTTACTTTATTACTGTTTAAAAAATGTTTCCAATTCTTGATTGGTTGGGTCCATGGAACACAGATATGGAGGAGCAACTGTACTTCAGGATGCCATCTAGTGTGGTGATACATACTTGTATATTATTTTGTTTTAAATCATCTTTTGTTTCTTATTTATTGTAGCTCTTTTATTTAGATGTGTAGGCAGATGGATTACTTATGAACTTTATTTCAAGAGAGAAGAATTATTTTATTAAATGGAATGATCATTTGTGAAAGAGAGTGGTAGGGCTGGGTGCTCTGGGCAGCATTTTTACAGTAAGTGAATGCTGTGGGATTTAGAGGAGAGGGTAAACTAGACCTCTACCCACCCACTGCTGTGCCTGTGGTTCAGATGTATCTTGAGCTACTTTTTTTTTTTTTTGGAGAGAGAGTCTCACTCTTGCTCAGGCTGATCTCAAACCCCTGAGTTCAAGCAACCCACCCAACTCAGTCTCCCAGAGTGCTAGGATTATAGGCATGAGCCATCATGCCTGGCCTATCTTGAGCTATTGCAAGTATCATGTTTCCCCCAAAATAAGATACTGTCTTATATTTATTTTTTCTCAAGACACACTAGGGCTTATTTTCAGGGGATGTCTTATTTTTAGTAAGTATAATACAACAATCTACATTTATTCAAATACAGTTAAGTCATCTTCTTCTGGAACCTGACAGGGGGGAACCGACCTCGTTGGTGAGGCTTGGGCTAGTGATTGTGAACTCCTTTCCCCTAGCCGTTCACATGTGCGCAATAGGATGCCTGTGACTGAGGTTACCACACACACACCCGCACAAGTGTGAATGGCTCGGAGAAAGGAGCTGTGGCAGATGAAAGGTATTCCAGTCTTCCTTACCACTCTGCTCTGAAATGCAGGCATGGCTAAGCACATATGCTGCATAACCACACTCATCACCAGGTCTTATTATTGGGGTAGGGCTTATATTTAACAAATGCATAGAAATCCTTCTAGGGCTTATTTTGGGGTAGGTCTTATTTTCTGGGAAACACGGTAGCCTCGTAACTAATTTTCCTCCCACCAGCCTTGTGCCTCCCTGTGTCTCTATGAGACTCAATCAGATGACATATTTAAGTCCAGATCCTTAGCAAGCTTCAGATCTGCTTCTCCCATCTACCCATCTTTCTTCCATCCATTCCCCTCCTCCAGAGTCCAGCAGTGCCAGACACCCCACATTACCCTTCCCCATTCTTATCTGTTAAACACCAAGCTCCTTTATAACTCCTGCCTTTGTAAGCACTCTCTCCACAGATATAATAGTTTTCCTCCTTAGTTAAATCTAGCTGGGGAACATCTACTCCCATGGTGATGGCTATACTGCCTTAACTATCCTTTAGTTTTTCTCTTCCTGCTTTAGTTATTTAAACATTTGTATCAGTATATACTCGTGGATTTTCCTTTTATACTCTGGGTTACAATCTGATATTTATGTTGACTTTCTTGCTCAAATTGCTCCCACTTTTGCTATTGGGATACTCTTTCCTGTATCCTTTCACATATTCCTATTTAAAAAAAATTTTCTTCTTGCTTCTGGCACTACCAGAAGGCTCATCGTGGATTTTCCCTGCCCAAACCTGAGCCATTTTTCTAAGAACTCCTAGTTCCTTGTATTGCAGAATATTAGAAACCAAGATCTAGGTGTTGGATGTGCTTGGCACTCCTGGGATGTTATTGCTTATAGGCCCTGCCAGTAGATGAATGAGGAAACATGTATAAAAATCAGTCCGTGCATGTATACGTGTCAAAAGTTCTGTATCTGTCCATATAAAGCTTACTATGAGTTCATACTGACATATCTACCTCTAGTCCAGTACCACACGGCTCACTCTGCCCTCAACTGATGTACCTGCAGCCTCCTGCTCCGGCAGGAGGAAGCCAGGTGCCCACCAGCAGCCAGATACAGGCACTTGTTCAGTCTTAGGACGAACATACAGAAGTCTCAGAATCATGTACCCACACCTGGCTTAGAGTTCCAGCCGAAACTTTCCCAAAGTTATTTAGGCCAGTGCCTTTGTCTCCACTATGACCCATTTTGAGTTAAGTTTTGGGTAAGTTATGGTGCAGATGTGGAGGTTTATTCTTCTGCATGTGAATATCCAATAGTTCTAATACCTTTTGTCAAAAAAACAAAACTATCCTTTCTCCTTTGAATTTCTTCTGCACCTCTGTTAAAAATCAGTTCCTATGTCTGGATGGGTCTATTTCTGGGCTAATCTCTTTCATTGATCCATGTGTCTATTATTTTGTCAATACTACACTATTTTTATTACTGCAGTTTTATAGTAGATCTTGAAATCATAGGTCTATCGTAAGTCTAAAAGGGTTGGGAATGCATCATTTGTGTGCTAAACTTGAGCAATGCTATTGTTTCAGATGGTTTATGGAAGGAATGTTAGCCAGTGTCTTCACATGCTTGCTGTTGGTAATGGTAGCTTGTAAGTATCTGTTGCTAAAATTATCACTGTGATTCCTGTATTTCATTCCAAATTTGTCATTTTAAAATGATTTTTAAATATTTTCTATTTCTCACCCAAGATGCTGCAAAATCATTGTTTTTCAGCCTTGCCAGCTATTTCAAAGCCACGACTTATATTGGGTGAGTTACCTATGTTATCATCGTTGTCTGAACAAACATGACCATAATCTGGTATCTGGGGAGTGTTTCTGCTGGATAATAGATGGCAATTACTACATACAGGAAATGTCCTACTCATTCATGCTGAAGACTACTTTCTGTTCCTGCTAAAATCTAATAATGTTATCCTAATCCTAAATTCTTATATCAAAATAGATAGAATAGTGTCCTTTCATATCATTCTAAAAGTGCTTTTATAGATTCATAGCACTGCACTTTATAAATACCTCATATTAAGAAGACCTTTATGTTATAGCTTCCCAAATAGCTGGCAAACTGCCCATGAAATGATCTCAGTTACAAAATGTGATTTCTCTGTCCTCTTACTCATTTTATGATTTCCCTAGGTGGCAAGAGCCATGGTTCAGCATTTTTCAATGGGGTTATTGGGGTCTGGGTGAGATGCTCACAGAATTTCAAACAGTCTGCAGAACACTATCCTCTCACAACATGAACTGTGTTAATTACCTTCACTTCAACATGGCTTCCAGGGCAAACTCCCATAACTTGGAGACCAAGGTCTATAAACTCACTGTGACACTCTTGAAACTATGTTTCCCTGTTTATGAAATCTTTGCATTAATTCTGAAATCACGGTAGGGTTTAAGTGAAGATTTATTTTGTTTAGGAGTATAGCCAACATTGACTTACTTTGAGTGATGCTTCCCATAATCTCTACATATTCCAGGTTTCTGGAGATGGGTATGGATATAGCTAAGTTTTGTTTAACCTGATATTTAGAAAATTGGGTTTGGGGTATCCCAAAAAGCCCTTACCCTTGAAATCAAAAAAATTCCTTTAGAATGCTTCTAGGACACTTATATCCTTCCCTCCAGGTACAGGAAGTTCCCTGGGTCTGTACAGAGGCTTACAGACATATCTTACATGACATTCCTACAGTTTTGCTTATGTGCTTAGTTCCATGGGCTAAGATAATACCCTAGTCAGGACTGGACTAATAATGCAAAAGATTTTCCTCCAAAGAGTGATTTTATTACCTTTCAGAAATGGAAACATTATGGTTTGTCAGACAATGAATTGTTTAAATCTCTTATCTTTAGGTTTTAAGATGGGAGATAACAGCCAGAGAAATCAGACAAGAGAAAGGAATAAAGAGTATCCAGTTGGGAAAGAGAAAGTCAAACTTTCATTTTTTGCTGATGAAATGATCTTTTATCTAAAAAAACCCCAAAGATTCCAGGAGACTCTTGGATTGATTAATAAATTCAGCAAAGTCTCAGGTTACAAAAATCAATGCATGCAAATGCATTCCTATACACCAACAGCCAAACTGAGAGTCAAATCAAAGACTCAATACCATTCGCAATATCAGAAAATAACACACTTAGGAATATAGTCAACCAAGGAGATGAAAAAGTTCCATAAAGAGAACTACAAAACACTGAGGAAAGAAATTGCACATGACACAAACAAATGGAAAAAACGTTTCTTGCCCTTGGATCCGTAGAATCAACATTATCTTCATACTACTTACACTGATTTATAGATTCAATGCAATCCCCTTCAAAATACCAATGACATATTTCACAGATCTAGAAAAATTAATTCTATGCTTCATTCGGAAACAGATAAGGGCCCAAATAGCCAAAACCATCTTAAGAAAAAAGAACAAATCTGAGAGTATCACCTTAGCCGACTTAAAACTATATTACAAGGCTATAATAATCAAAACAGCATGATATTGCCACAAAAATAGAGATATAGACCAATGGAACAGAACAGAACTCAGATATAAAAGCACACACACCCAGTAAACTGATCTTTGACACAGCAGACAACAACATACACTGAGGTAAGGAAGCCCTGTTTAATAAAAGCTGCTGAAAGAATCAGACAGCCACATGGAGAACGAAACAGTGTCCATCTCTCACCACTCGCAAAAATTCAAGATAGATAAAAGACATAAGTGCAAGGCATGAAATCCTGAGAATGCTAGAAGAAAATGTTGGAAAAGTTCTAGATATCAAAGAATTTACGAAGATGACTCCAATGGCAATCACAGCAACAACCAAGATAAATGGGATTTGATTAAACTAAAAAGCTTCTGCCCAGCTAAGGAAATAATCAACATATCAAGTGGACAACCTACAGAATGGGAGAAAATATTTTCAAACTATACATTCCATAAAGGGTTACTGACTAGAAAGGGCTATTCCTACAAATAACTCAAGCAAGTCAGTAAGACAAATGGCCCTCACTAAAAATTGGGTAAAAGACATGAACAGAAGCTTTTCAAAAGAAGATAAATGGCTAATACATGAAAAAATGCTCAACATCACTAATCAGGGAAATTCAAATTAAAACTATAATGAGATATCACCTTACTCTGGGTAGAATGGCTTTTAAAAAAAAATCCAAAGACAATCAATGCTGGCATGGAAGCAGAGAGATAGGAATACTTATACACTATTTGTGGCACTGCAAATTAGTACAACCTCTATGGAAAAAAGTATAGAGAGTCTTCAAAGAACTAAAAGTAGACCTACCATTTAATTCAGCAATCCCACAACTGTGTATTTACCCAAAGGAAAAAGTCATTTTATCAAAAGGACATCTGCACTTGAACATTAATTGCACGCCAATTCACAGTTGCAAAGATGAGGAATCAACCCAAGTGCCCATCAATTCATGAGTGGATTATCGAGATGTGGTACATGTATACTATGGAGTACTATTCAACTAGGAAGGATGAGCTCAGGCCTTTTGCAACAACTTGGGTGGAACTGATGACCATTATCCTAAGTGTAGTATCTAAAGAATGGAAAAACAAACACCACACGTATTCACTATTAAGTTGGAACTTACTGATGAGCACGTATGTGCAAAGGAGGAGGTAAAACTCAGTGGAAATCACGCAGGGAGGAGCGGGCAGAAGGGGATGGGTGAAAACCTACCTAATGTGTAGAGGGAACTCTATCTGGGTGATGGACAGTCTTAATCATAACAAAAGTGGTCTATGTAACCAAAAACATGTCTAACCTTAAATAAAGAAAATACAGAGCTTTAGAGAATGAGATCAGCAATGAACTTCCCTGGTTTCATCAGATTTTTTCTACTTATGTTTACCATTGTTTTTAAAATACTTAAAATATATATTTCCATCCTTCCATAAAACTAATAGAAAAATAAAAGGCAGCACTAGCCTCCTCTCTTGGGGAGCTCTATCAGGAGAGCAATGTTCCTGAGTGCTGCTCTGGTGTTTGCTGAGAAGCTTGTTTAAAGAGAGGATTTCTGAATCCTGATTTAAAGTCTTCTGAACCCAAATCTGAAGGATCTTAATTTGTATTATAACTTCAGGAAATTGTTTGCATTAGCAATGAGAATACTGGCAAGATCATGTCTAAAACCTTTGCGTCTTGATTTCTAAAGTGGGACCACTTCACTGACCAAAACCTGAGAACTTGTGATGTGCTCTATACTATATGGAGTGTCCAGTTGAGTTCAGCTGGCAATTCCAGAGTATCTACCATGGGTTAGACACCATTGCTAGGTGCCAAGGGAGCAATGTGAAGGCATGTGGTGATGCCTTTACAGTAACAGACATGTAGAGAGCAAGGTGAAGTGGCATTTCAGTAAGAGCAATTATAGGGTTAGTATAGATGCCAAGGGAATAGTAGGAGGGACGTTTCCCCAGACAAGGAGGGGTAGGGAGTGTGGGCAGGAAGGGCTTCTTGGAAAAACCAATATCTGATCTGCAGGGGTTGTATCACCTGTTTTTTCAGCACCTCCCACTGCTCGGAGCTAATTTTTTGTTCTCTCCTAAGTAAACACTCTAATCTACCACTTCAGTTGTGGGGTAAAATCCCTTCTTTGATATTGGTGTACATGCTTTAACTTGTTCTTTTCTGATTCCCACTTCATTTTCTGTTTTCCACCCAGCCAGCATAATACATGTACACAAACAGAAACACACACACACACACACGGGAGGTAGTTAGGTTGACTTCACACACACACACTTACAATTAAGACCCAGAAAAACAAGGACTACTAACTTCATTTGTATCCACCTCAAATGCCTTGAAAATAGCAGGTACTCCATAAATATTCATTAAGTTGAATATATTTGCTGCATCACATCTCTTGAAGTACTTCCTTGATAGTTAGGAGCGCTGCCTGTATATTAGAGATTTTGCAACTCTCTCCCTCATCTATAAACATGTTCAGAAGCTAATAAGCCAAAGACACGGTTATTAATTTCAAGAGTCAAGGATGACTCACAAGTCTCTAACAATCAATGATGAGACCCTAAAGAAGTGGAGGGCAAGTGCTGGATTTGGTTCAGCAAATATTAACACAGCTGCCGTCCCCGCCCCTGCCCATACTGAGCAATGTTGTTAGATTCGATGCCTCTTTACCATTTCTTGCTTCCCAAATCATATTCCCTTTTTATATCCTAATGCAATTTTCATTCAATTTTATTAAATTTGAAACCTGTGAGTGTAGGTTCTGTCCATCTTGTTCACTGTCATCCCAAGTATCCCACAGGTGCCCGTGTTGCCAGTCATGTGTCAGCATCAGCAGTGTACATGTCTCACGGAGTAACAAATAGGTGACAGCCGTTCCCTCTACTCAGATGGAGGAATGGATGTTCCTGCACATGGTGAATGAATAAATTGGGGGGATTAAAAATATGCTGAAAACCAATGCAAGACTATGATCCTAAGGGTGGTAATTTGGGGAAGAGAAAACAACATGGAATGGTAGTTAATTAAGCAACCGGCAGTGCTGAGAGGTTAAAACTTCTATAGCCTTTCAGATGAAAAAACAGCACTAGGAACCACTAGAGTGAAAGCAAAAAGAAAGTCACTCTAAGTTGAGGCTCCACGCTTCCTAACAGTTGTGATTATTCAAGCCGGGGTGTGTGTGTGGTGATTAGAGAGTATCTCTCGTGTGTAGGGATGAATTATGCATTTCTTTTCTTTCTCTGATCCAGATTTGCCAAAATTTGACAACCATTTAGCAATGCCGCTGATGAATGTCTTCCAACTGAATATCCAGAAATTGTCCGACTTTCAGTCTTAGTATCAGCTGCTTTACTGGGAGGGAATGAGCAACTGGATAGTTGAGAAAGATTTAATCTGACTATATGTTTAAAAAAAAGACTAAGTTTTTCCCTCACAATTGTAATATGCTCATGAAAATGTTAAATTGCTTTTCCTTTGGAAACACCTGCAGTTGGGAGGGAAAGGCCTGGGGAATGTGACGGGTCACCTGGAGCAAAGGTTCCCTCCTTGTTCCCCAAGGCAGTGGTTCCCAGACATTAGTTTTCTTTTATTTTTTTTAATTGAATGGTCACTATGTACATTAATGCACTTCTGGGGTACAGTGTGGGGTTTCACACAATCCAAAACACTTCCATCAAACTGGTTAACATAGCCTTCGTGTCATTTTCTTTATTATTTTAAAACGTTCACATTCTACTCTTAGATTCATTTGTACCTTTGTAAGATAAACCTCAGAAGTGATCCCTCCAAACTCTCTCCCTCCACCCAATCCCCCCTTCCCTCTCCCTCCCCCTCCCTGTATTCTTAGGCTCTGAGCAAAGTAACACAAGAATGGAAGAAAAAGTATCTAATGTACACACCCCTATTATGAAACTAATTTATACCTTTTATATGAAAAGACATTAGTTTTCATTAGTGAATTCTGCCAGGAGCCTGTGACAGGGCAGACTCTGGGGCCTGCCCACGTGCACCTAGGGCTTGATGAACTGCTTTAATTGAACAATGAGAGTAAGTTTGTGTAACTAATACCAACTTGAATAAGGGTAGTTTGCATGTAAAATATAATCTTGTAAAACTTCATTATTCCTCCCAAAGAAGTTGGTCACTATTAGGTGCTGACAGTGGGTGATGATTGGTTGAAAATGAGCAGGAGAGAGTCATTTTCTGGAAAATATCCCTTTTTTTGAAACAATTTACCAAGTTTTTAATCTTCTTGGGGCTCATGATTCCTTTCATTTAAATTGCAATGAAAATAAAGATAATACAGAAAATGTTTTAAGGGCAAAATAAAGGCAAAATGCCAGTGTGCTTTGAAAATGTTTTAAGGGCAAAATAAAGGCAAAATGCCAGTAGGAAACCGGTGCAGGTGTACAATTGACTCAAGGGTTGTGGAAGAGACTTTTGTTCATCCTTCTCACTCGGTGCTGTTCACAAAGCAAATACAGCCTGCAATTCAGATCTGTTCAATGTGCTCTGACAAACTCTGGGTGGATAAAATTATCTTTGCTTAAAATGGCAATGCCCAGGTACCACTTTTCATATCATCTATATCTAGTGTATTTGGAGTTGAAAGAAATTTTACTAATAAATAGAGTCATCATGAAGTCCTTGTTTTCCTATTGTTGCCTTAAATCACTACAAACCACGTGACTTAAAATTTACAATTCTGGAGGTCATACGCCTAAAGGTGTCAGGAGAGTTTTCTCCTCCTTGGAGGCTTCAAGGAAGAGTCTGTTTTCTTGCCTTTTTCTGTTTTGGGCGTCCGCCACATTCCTTAGCTTGTGGCCCCTCCCTCTATTTTTACAGCACACAGCTCCAATCTATTTCTTCCATAGTCCATCCCCTTTTCTTCTGCAGTAAAATCTCCCTTTGCTTCATTAAGGGATAATTGAGATTACATTTAAGGCCTACTCTGACAATCCAAGGTAATCTCTCCATCTAAAATCCTTGACTTATTCAATGTAAGCATTTCACATTGTATATCAAAGCAGTACACTGAACCCCATAAAAGCACCAATGTACAACGTTATAATAAAAAATAAAATCCTTGATTTAATCACATGTACAAAGTCCCTTTTGCCATGTAACATTCACAGATTCCTGTGATTAGAACCTGGATATTTCTAGGGACCATTAGTAAGCCTAACCACAGTCATATCTGAAATAGGTTTGCACCATGATTTAGTAGCCTGGGATGTGTTCCATACGTTTGCCTTTTTAAAAAGTGATTTTAAAAAGGCAACCTTCCATCCACACCTATATAATGCTTCGAAAGGGGCTTGCTGGAGAACTAAAGGCACAGGGAGCCTTTCATTTAGTCGCTATTAGTTGAGTGTCCATGGACAATTGCCACGTGTCCTGTGTGTATGTGTTGCACACTTTTACAGGCCCACTTGATATAGATGCCTTTCAAAGTAAGATGGTGACATACCATAATTATTTACATGCATAGAATACTTTGTGTACAAAGACTTTCTCTGTCCCCTGTGGAAGGGAAAGGCGCTAGACGTGGAGTTGATAACTGATCACGTCTGCATGATAGAGCCTCCATAAGAATTCCTAAGCCATGGGGTTTGGAGAGCTTCCAAGTTGGTGAGCACATGTTGAAAGGGTGGTACACCCCAACTCTACAGGGCCAGAACCCTTCCAGACTTCATCTTCATTTACATTGTCATATACCTTATTATAAGATAGTATTACAAATGTACAGAGTTTCCTGGAATTCTATGCACTGTGATAGCAAATTACTGAACCTGCAGAAGGAGCTGTGGTAAGCCTCTATTTGTAGCCAAGTCAGACAGGCATGTGGGTAACTGGGGCACCTGTTATTTGTGGCTGGCATAAGTAGAGGATAGTCTTGTGGGATTGAGGTCTCAACCTGTGGGTCTGTGCTAACTTCAGGTAGTTAGGGGCAAAATGGAATTAAATTGTAGGACACCTAGTTGATGTCTACAGAGAAATGGAAAACTGCTTGGAGTAGAAAATCCACATGTTTGGTGTCAGAAATGTTGGGAGTAGAGAAACAATTTTCATTTAAGATTCATTTAAAGCTGTGCCAAGAGGCATAATCTTAATGTAAATAGGACACAGACTTTGAGGAGACTCAAAGCTAGAATTGAATCCTGTTCCCCACTTATTGGGTGACGTTGAGTCTCTGTAACTTTATAAAACAGACAAAACCTCCTACTTTATAGACTATCACTGAGAATTACTGATAATGTGTTTTTAATAGATGGCTTTAACCTTTTCCCCATAAGCACTAACTTAGCAGCCTCCAACAGCAAATTTATTGTCTCACAGAGAGTCAGCAGTCTGGACACAGCTAGTTTGTGTTCTCTACAAGGCTGCAGTCAAGGTATCAGCCAGGATTGGGTTCTCATCATCTAAAGGATATTCTTCCAAGTGCACATGGTCATTAGAATTCCGTTCCTTTTGCCTCAGTGGCTGAGTCCTTCCCGAATAGAGCCTTCATATGAAAGCCCATCCCTGGACAATGCCTAGTTTACCGCTTTGTAGAGTTAAACTGTGGCCCTAACCGACGAAAACTGAGATAAGTTGTGTTCTAAACTACTAGGCTAATATTACACAGCAATTGATAATGAACAAAATAAACACAATATCCATGAATCACCCATACTGTTAGTTTATGAAACATGTTTCTGTGAAAAATGGTTTTAAGACTGGTCTCCTGGCAGCATGGCTTCTAGCCAGATGGCTGCTCTGAAGCCCCACCACTTAAAGACTCCATCGTGACCTTAACCTCCTGCAGATTCACCTGTGAGAGACTGTTGCTGTATCTGCACTCAGGAAGACTGTGCATCACTGATGCCATCGCTCTGCCAGGAGCCAGCCTGAAGCTCTGAGGGGCCTATTTGTTTTATAGCCCTCCCAGTAGGCAACAGTCATAAAGAACCATGTCTGCAGGACACAAAAAATTCCTAGTGATCTGGACTTTGTAACTTTGAAGTTTATAGTAATCAAAATATGACGTTCTATGCAGTTTGATGCTAGTTTCATTTATTAGTTCAGTAAACATATATTTGGTCCAACCATGTGCCAAGAACTACTCCAGCCATGAGATAGGACAATGAAGAAAGGCAAAGATTCCTGCACTTATGAAATATCATGTTTATGTAGACTTCCCTCAGAGAAATAGGTGGAACAGCCACCTAAATAATAATTCTGGTTAAAATACTAGAAATACACGTAGACAAAATGATGTAAAACAAATGTATGATTTAATACATTACTGTAAGGCAAATGCTGTATTTTAGCATGCCTTGTTTTACTAACAGAATATCATAGACTGGGTAATGTATAAAGAGAAGACATTTTTTGCAGTTCTGGGGGCTGGGAAGTCTAATCACAAGGTGTCAGCTCTAGTAAGGGCCTTCTTGCAGCATTACCCCACGGTGGAAGGGAAGAGGGCGAGAGACAAAGGCGCTGAACTCCTCCTGCTCTCAGAACCTGTCCTGTGAAAACCAACCCACTCCCCTGATAATGGTATTAGCCCAGTCACTTCTCAAAGACCCACCTCCCAACCGTGTTGTGTTAGGTATTAAACTTCCAACATGCGGACTTTGAGGAATACATTTAGGCCAAAAAACATGCCTTTTTCGAGAACAAACATTAAAATAGACACAACCTTCCTAGCTATATCAGGAGCCCCTCCATCTTTCCCACTCTCAGAATCACCTGAGTGCTGATTTCATGATAATCACCTCTGTGCTTGCTATGTAATTTTTTCAGCAGAATATATTCCTGAACACCATGGAATAGCTCTGCCTGTTTTTATTTGTTTGCTTCCTGTGTCTTTTGAGTCTCTTTCAATGTATATCTTCTTCCTCCAACTTCCATTCCGCCCTGAGCTTTGAAGTCTGCCTCTTGTGAAAACTGGGTTTGTCTATTAAAAGTTCACTCAACTGGAATGTTGCTGATTGAATTCCTGTGGTCAAGTTTAACGTTTCTCTCAGTCTTCTGTATTTCCTGCCAACTGTTGATTATGAAGCTTAATCATTTTTAATTTTGAGTTTTCTGAGGAGCTGCTACTTCAGGGGTAGTGTCATATTCTTCAGACATAATATCTTTTTGTGTTGTCAGCAGCCATTTCTGCTCAATGCTTAGATTTTTAATTCATCAGGGGTTAAAGGATGATATTCCAATTTCATCATATCATCATTTATTTGTATAGAGAAACATCTGCCATCTGATTACCCAGTGGTTCG